GAGGAATACTAGCAATAAAGACAATGTGGTTATGAAAGCAGAAGATGAATGATTAATGTAGGATAATGCAGCAAAAACAGAGGGAAAAAATAAGTGCAGGTAACAGTTGAAACAAATTAAAAAATAAAATTACCCAACCAAAAGCAAGGTCACCAGAAAAAAATTTCAGAAAAGGGACATTGTGCATCGAATGTCTGGCAGTAAGAGGAACAAAATTTCCACTTTCTCATAGATAGTTTGTGTGTCAATACAAATACAGAAAAAACTACAACAAAACCCATAACGTAAAATGGTCAGACAGACGTTAAACTTGTGTGGGTGGGAAAAAAACAACAAATAAAGCATGAAGCCCAGACCCAAGAATGAGATTGTGTACTACCAGAGGACAGAACCCCCAGCTCTATTTATACAGTTGAAAGTAAATGCAAGGACAGAAACTAAGGTTGAAATTCATTTTTGAGTCTTCTGTTATCTTCTACTTGCCAACTTCTTTTGCTATATTGGCAAATGCCCCTGTTTCTTGAGTTGCACATTTACAGTCTTCAGTAGGAGACTGTATTGTGAATAATTACCAAGGAAGAGTACCCATTCCACTCACCACAGCCAGGCTGTGGCCCAAGTGCTTCATATGAGTAAGGTATTGAATCAAGGGCAGTAAGAGTGGGATAAACTATTTACTCTCTGTGAAATGAATTCAACTTACCTCAACACAGCAATGCTGCCTGGATATAAATGAAAACCTATTTATTATTATATTCTACTAAAAGAGATGGAAGTGACTTCATTTTCACAAGGGACTCAGATTTGACTTAGCTCATGTGGATGAGAGGTGGTTCCTGACTTCTATAGAAGCCAGCATATGTACTCGCTATTCTTATTAACAGTCAGCAATGACATAATTGAATACAATTTGACAATGAAGAGGATAAAGAAGGGTTAGCAAGATTTGGTGGGCAAGAAAGTTTGTAAAGCTCCAGATTCACAGTTCAAAACTATACAGTCACTGAAAAAACAACTTATTTTCCACTTCATATTTTCTTCTTTGCTTGCCGTGTTGCCTGATACTGTAAGAACCCCTCACAATCTGCGGCATTTCTTCAAAGTCTAATACTGGAATTAGTAAAGTATATTAAACAAAACTCTATTTTTGCAGACTCATGCAGTACCCTAAGACTTCATTTTCTCCCCATTCAATATAGATGTTCCTTATGGACACTAAGGTGCATTCAACTTAAAGCTGGAAGAGAGAGTACATCTTCTGACAGCGAGCCAGATTCTAGTCAGAGCACAACCAATATAAACTGTACACAGGAACAGCTTCTCTGCTTTTGTACATGAATTTGGTCACCGACAACTGGAAACTAGAACAGCCTAAGACAGAACCTTGGCAGGTGCCACCTACAAAATGTTGCTATTGGAAGATTTTCTTTATTTCATGTTTTACCAAACAAAATCTATTTCTTACTTTTGCATCTAGTAATGCCACAAATAATATCCCTTCTTTAGTGATTACCAACTTACACAGAAAGCTGTTGTTCTAATACAGGCAAACACTGCTGTAAACTGACTGAATTCTGCTTAATTTAACCAGGCAAGTAGGGATATATGCTGAAGTACTACACAGGAGGATCACTGGTGCAGTTACATGCTCTGGAAAAGTCTCCACGTATGCATGCTACCACCACTGCCACAGAAACAGAAATTGCCCTTTAACCTTTCCAGTGGGTAATCTCTAATTTTCTCATGGAACCTACTCTTAGTAGGATAGCAACCATTATCAGGCTGGTAGAACTAAATCTGTCTTCATTAACTCTGGACATGTGTAAGTCACTAACATCTATCTGTGGATAGACTGCTTAGCAAAGTACTTGCTGCTGCATTCTAACACATCAAAGTAATGCCATTTTTATTATATGTACAGATTTCTTCAACTGTTACAAAGACTATTTAGTAATACCTTGCTTTTGTTCCAATGGATATTTAGGAAGAGACTCTCATGAATGAAAGAGCAGAGTGACCATCAAAGCAAAAGAAAAACACTAAAATGCTACAAAAGCTTCTGCCATCTATGCTGACTCTGCACCTACATTTGCCAGCACAGTATTTACACACTAATCACGCTGTATTTAGGACTTAAATAGGACATATGAATTCCAACATTTTGTATCAGGTCACCAAAAAAATCTAAAAAGAGATACTACTAGCAACAAACTTGGCCTTACCTAAGTATTTAGAAGTCATTGCTCTACCACTCTGACATCCAACAAGTGGCAACGTTCAGCTGCTTCCTAATGGACAGAGAGCTGAGCCAGGTATCCAGGCTGGCAGGGCAGGAGCCACACCAGACACAACCCTGTCCTACAGCTTCTCAGCAAGATACATAGAGAACTAGAGAGAGAACTCAGCATGCATAAAGAGCCCTGGAAAATTAGCATAACTAGGTAAGTTACACTAAGGTCAAGCCAGAGAATCAGTCCAGAGGCCTAACTTACAACTAACCACAAGGATAATAGAGCTTAAAGAGTGCCCAAGGCCCAGGCCAGAGCATAAATGGAGCTCCTGCACCCACAGGCAGAGGTGTGGGTGGAAGCCCCAGCTGAGGCTCGTCAAGGTCCTTTAGGCATATTAGTGCACTCAGAGCCCTGGCAATGTTTTGGAACCTATACTAACAGATTGCTCACACATGGCTAGAATCAGTTAGCAGATACCTAAGGAAAAGGACAGCATCATGTTCACTTGACTTTTTCTCGATTTTAATTGTACTGCTATATCACTGTATTTTTCTTGCTTAATTTCACCAGCTCAAGATCAAGGCCTGATTGAAAAAATTCTACAAATGTTTTTCAAGTTTTGTTGTGTTTTTTTTTTTTTTAATTCCAGCTTTGTGGAATCTGCTTAATGCTGTCTACATCTCTCATATCTACATTTTCCTACAAAAGGACTATTTGTAGAAAAGCTTTTACTGTGCTTTAGTATGGGAATATATACCTTTCCCCACAATTTTTCCTGATACCCTCTGAATCTCTTAATCCTTAAACCCAATTCTTGAAACAGTAGAAAAAGATGGTACAGGCTTAGCTCTGCATGAAATCCTCAGCTACACTTGTTGTCTAAGCAGTACAGACTACAGTCTTCATTAAAAAAAAAAAATCAGAAAAAATGTCAGAAAGAAAAGAATCAGTAACAGATTTCTGTTACATTCTGCTTAAGTTGCCACCTTCTGTTCTCGCATAGGGAGAGTAGGTGCAGAACACAAAAGATAAAACTAGCTCAGACTATTTTTGAACTATTTCTTTCAGCTGTTTTTGTTTGCACTATTACAAAGCCTTGGCAGGCAAGGAAAATATTCTCAGAATAGCAGATTTCTTGCTTTGTTCTACATCTGTTCCAAAACCATGCAACTGTATTTGAACAGCTGGCCAGTAACATACAACTATCAAACATGACAATGACATATGATCACAGCGTTCTTTGTAGAGGACTGAGGTTTCAAAGCTGAATTAAACCCTCAGACAGACACATCTTGGTTTTAAAGGTACATATTCAGGTTTAAATCATACTTTTTATTTTTCTTGAATTGAGCTTTCTATTGGCAACGATGAACAAACAAGTACTCATTGTATCAAAATAAAGAACTGGAACTGCTCTGCAGAAAAGAATTTCCTGGTGCTATTGCTAGGACTAGAACCAGAGGAGCTCAGTCTGGCCATGTCATTAACATGCTACACGTAACTTTAGAGCTTTGGAAAATATATTTTGTTTTTTATACAAATGTGTAAAGAAGTTCAGAAAAAAACCTTCCTAAGTATCCAAACCTCCTTCTATGTCCTCACCTACTTTGTAACTTTGCATCCAGAGGTATATATTACCCAATTCTAAAATTCCCATTACAATCTTGGGGCCAACTATGTTGTCCTCCTATGTTACATGCCCGCAGCCCTATAAAGAGAAGCCTGAACTTAACACTTACAACCTTCATAAAATCTATCTTTAAATTTAAAGAACTCTAAGGGGATGTCAAGGCTACTTTTCTGCATAAGAAGTAACATTGACCTAAGCTAAGCTCTTAAGGGAATTTTGTTGTAATTGCTGCAACAAACACCATAATGATCAGTTAAACTGATGTTCAGGTATTTTTATGCTCATACTGAATGAGATCTGTACAGCATCTGCTCTCCAAAATGCACGGGAAAAAGAAAAGGGCAAATTAATTAGCTACTGAAGAAAACTGATGAATACCACAGTTCTTATTGAATAATGATTTTTATAAAAAGTAGTCAGTGTAAGGCTTTGCAGACTGCTTTACGCATTTGTCTTGATGCAGGTTCCCTTTTCCCCTCCGTTCTCTCTTCTGCTCACACAACATCAACTTTCAACCAAAACACTGTAGCACTGGGATGGCTGACAGCCACCACAGCCTAATCCAAAAGCTAAAAACACTCACAAACAGAAAACAACAACAAAAACTAAAAAAGAGCCGGGACTAGTTTATTTTCATCAGCTGAACAAACTGAAAAACAAAAACACCAGGCAGAACGGGCAGAGCACTGACACGGCAGAATGCTGGGTTGTGAGCATCACTGCAGCTGTCACGCATCTTCCTAAATGCGGGATTATTTTTTTTTTCCATCCCGACCCCTTGCACCGGTTTGTGAAAACGCCGGGCTGCTGCAGGCTGTTCCTGACAGCTCCTTCCCCGCCTTCTCCGGGCAGCACCATCGGACTGATGAGATGCGGCAAGGCATGTGCAAAAAGTAAAGCAAAAAACCCAAACCGACCTGATGAGATGCGGCAAGGCATGTGCAAAAAATAGAGAAAAAAAACCCAAACCGATCACAAAACCAAACAGCAGAGGTGTATGTTGTACGCGGGGAGGCCGTGGGGGAGCACCCCTAGCCCTTTAAGCTGCCCACCCTCCCCGGCAGGCCGCGGCGGCAGCTGCCGGCTATTTATACGCGGGCGGCGGCGGGCGCTGAGTGTCTTGCGCGGGGCGGTCCCGGTAGCGGCGGCGGGGCCTGGGCCTGGACCGGTGGCTGCCATGGCCACGGCTCTCTCCTCCACGCCGATGAGCGGGAACCGCTCCATCAGCCGCGTCGCCGCCGCCTCGCCGCTGAGCCCGATGCGGCTGAGCCGGCTGCAGGAGAAGGAGGAGCTGCAGCAGCTCAACGACCGCCTGGCCGCCTACATCGAGCGGGTGCGGGCGCTGGAGGCCGACAACTCGGTGCTGCACCAGCGGCTGGCCGAGCAGGAGGCGGGCAGCGACCGGGAGCTGGAAAACCTACGGGTCCACTACCAGGAGGAGCTGGCCGATGCCCGCCGGGCGCTGGACGATATCGCCATCGAGCGGGCCACGCTGCAGGTGGAGCTGGGCAAGATCGGCGAGGAGCACCGGCAGCTGCACAGCAGGTCGGTGGCCTGGCCCTCCCGCCGCTCCTGCCCGGCCCCCAGCGGCCCTCCCTGCAGGGGACAGCCCCGGGGGTGCCGCCGCCTCTTCGGGGCTCTTGCGGGGTGAAGGGAAGGGGATACGGCTCGCCAGTGTTGGGGAGGGAGAGCTCAGGTCATGGCAATGCCCCAAAGGTATGGTGGCCCTGCGAGGTTGGGGTGTCTTGGGCTAGGAGAAAGCCTGGTGTCCGATTTGGAGTTGTGCTGTAGGGACACTGCTGTGAGTGCTGCTGGGCTGCTTCAGGACCTCTCTGTGATGAGCAAGGGGCCTGCCCCAGAACTCGAGGTGCTGGGTGGCTTGATGGGGGATAGTACGGTATGAAGGCATTGCTGGCTGGCTTTAGCACCACGCCTCTGTTTATAAACACTGAAGAAGCTGCTGTGCTGGAAAGCATCTAGAAAGCTATGGGGGTAGGAGAAGGAGTCTCTGTGTGGAGTCAGCTCACATCTCTTTGGGGCTTTTTTAGCCCTGACATTGCCTAGAGGGGAATAACCAGAGAAGGTGGTCCTGTGAGTGGTGCAGCTTACCTGGTCTGGGCTGGTATGGCACGGAAATTGACATAGTGGTTTGTAGGTCTTGATTTATGTGCAGGGATGAACTGCCGGCTGTTACAGGCTTGACTTTATTGCCAGGTGTGTATCCTGAGCCTGGTATGGTCTTGTCTCACCAAGTCTGGAACAAAGGGGTGGCCCAATGTAAGTGTAATCAAGTTCTCCTGAAGGAGGGAAGAAGGTGTGTAGTGAAGGGGAAGGAACAAGTGTCCAATCCCAGCAAGCTTCCTTATGGATGTATACAGAGTGCTAGCATTGCTAGTTACTTTAATGCCCCATTGTACAGCTATGTTAATCACAGACTTGCAATAATTTGGGTGTCCACAAGCCTTCTAAATCTTGTATTATAGCACCTTTGGGCACCAGTTTTTTCTTTTAACACTTATATGGAGCAAGCACTGCCTCCCCATAGGCTCAGTAGGACTGAATAGCTGTTCTACTTGGGAGGAAGACATGGTTTTACTCTAAGCTTCTGGTTTCAGCTGCTTAGTTCTTGGGCTTGTCTCATTCATGCTGGGTTTTGGCTCATAGATCTGTTTCATAAATCTAACCAGCCACTTGAGTGGACAGTGAGGAGAGGGATAATGCCAGTTGTAAAACTTTTCTGCTCCTCTTTGTGTTTGTGTAACTCTGTGGCTTTGTTTATAAAGCTTTAGGTTTGGCAGGTATACAGTCCTCTGGACTGTTTTGATTTTTTTTTTTCCTTTAAAGTAACTAGATCTTAGAAGTCGTTAACTTTACAGCCCATGGGAAATGATACATAGTACATGCTGCTTTCTGAAAGGACTAGACTGAAGTCCTAGTATTAATGAGTGTTTTGTATCTGGGCTGTCTAACTGCAAATGTCTCAGATGACTTGGAACACACTACTTTGAGGGTATCGTGCCCTTTATATATACACCCTTTAAATAACCTGGAACTCTTATAGGATGGAATGTCACCAGATAACTTCCACACAGCATTAACCATTGGCTCTTGTTAATCGCTGGTGAAGAGACTTAAAGCTTCAGCTGCAATGAAGTCTGCTTGCATTTCAGCTTTTTTCTTACTATTTAAACAGTGGTAACTGGAAGTAGGCCAAAGACATTTTGGGAGGAGTTGTGGATAAGCATATCAGTTGGTTGAATTTGGAGCCTGAGGAAGGTCAAAACAACTACAGTAGCACAGCAGAGAAAGACAAGACCGGTTTCTTTCTGCACCAGTGAGTATAGATGTGCTTTTTGCTACTGAACCTGAAATAAGTGGTGTAGCAAGCTGAAGCTGTAAGAATGAATTCTGCAAGTGCTGTTAACATCCTCTAGTCTTGACAAACTGGAGTCTGTTTCAAACATACTGAACTCTTTTGACAAAATTATTTAAATTCTCAAGGTCAAGCATATGTGGCACCCTGATTTACAAGGAATGTGACTGGCAGTGCCTCAAAGTTATTGCTTGCAATTGATAGTAAGCTGTGCTTAATTCTGGAATGGTTGGTATATGGAATATTGTAGAGTACTGTAACTGGCACTGCTTGCTGCAAAATAATGTGGTGTTCTGAACCCCAAACTTGGTTTAAAAGGGCAGTAAATGCTCTTGTCAAGGACTTGTTAAATTGCTGTTCTTAAAGATTAAATTACTTGCTTCAGGGTTCTCTGAAAATAATATTTGTCAGGAAAGAATATAGGAAACCTGAAGCTGGCTGTAGAGGCCTGCATCAGGAAAGTGGGCCATCAAACAACAGAGTTAAAGCACAGATACCAATGGAATTTCAGGCTTGCACACACTTCGGCAGAATGAAGTTTATATTGTAGGATGAAACTGTCAATATTATCATTAAGTAGTGTTATTGACGTACTTGTTAATATCGTAACTAATACTCACAGTAAGTGGTAGCAGAGATCCCAGAAGGAAGGTGGCTAATTAATACCTAGAAAAGAAAACACCTGTTAATACTTTAGAAAAAACCACACCTTTTAAAAAAAAATACAACACTATCTTGTTTTTCATTGTTACTCCAGTAAAGTTACTTTTTTCCTGGAGTCTCAGCTGAGTAAAGAATAGATAACCTCTGCTGGCAAAACATTTGGTTTCGCATTGTGTTTGTGACGTATGAGATGCAGTCAACAAATGTCTCTGAAGAGCAGGGCGAGAAAAAGCCTTGAGCAAGAATCTGATGTAGGCACATGCCGTAGGCCTCTACTGGAACCAACCATACCTGTATCCCTTCCAGCAGATGTTTGTGTAACCCTTTTTTTAAAATTCCAGATGATGGAGATTCCAGAATGTCCCCCTCCAGGCAATGTGCTTCAGTGTTGAACTACTGTTAGTTTCCTCTGCCTAACATCTAAGGCAAATATTTCTCCCTGCAATTTAAGCCTGCAACTTCCTGTCTTTTCCACAACAGACATGGAAAACAGATTCCCTTCCTCTATGCAGCACTTTCATGTATGTAAAGACTGTTATGTCTCCTGTCACTTTTCTCTTCTCTAGACTAAACAACCCTTACTTTTTTCTAATCTTTCCTTGAAGTCCAAGCTTTCTAGAGGTGATCACTCCTGCAGAATGGCTTTGGATTCTCTCCAACTGGCCTGCTCAGTTATCAACTGGAAAACTCATTGTATGAATTATCAGAACTTAGCCACTTGGCAGAACAGATTTTGCTAAAATAAACTGAACACTTTACTCTTTGCAATCTCAAATCTGAGTTTTGAGCAGGAAGTCAGACTCTGGATAGTGGTCAGGCAAAGGATTTTAGAAGTTAGAGCAGTTGGGGGAAATCATTGTCCCTTTCTCTGACGGGAACTCACTGGGGGCCCAGCACTTCTCTACTGTGGTGCCAAGTAAAACCAGCAACTTAAACAACCACGTTGGCCATCCAGGTGGTACCTGAGGGCTCTGTACCTGGGTATTTGTGTAAGGAAACGGCCATCTTCTGAAAGCAGAGCTGCTCTTGCCCTGTAACTCTGCCACGGTGTGAAGGAGGGAAGAGTGTGTGACCCTTCCTGAGGGAGAAGAGTCCCTTGCCAGGGAGCTGTGAGGGAAGGGTGGCTGCTGTGGGGCTCACAGCCCTGTGGCGGGAGCTGAGGGGCTGTAGCAGGCAAAGCCTCAGCTGGGGCTGTGGGGGCTGACAGGGGCTGCTGGCCAGGGCTGGGCCAGTGGCCTCCTGGGGGCAAATCTCCTGGGCTGTGGGCGAGAAGATCCTGGGGGGCTGTGGGGGAGGAGGAATTGCCCACCCACCCAGTCCCCCCCTCCCCTGCTGCCAGAGCTGTGTTCTGCCTCCATGAGCAGAGAAGGGGGTGCTTTGCCCCCATGTGTGCTCAGCACTGATGGCTGCCCTGCCTGAAGAAAGCAGGCCCTGAGCTCCTCACACCCCACCTGGCTGCCTATAGGTGCTGCAGGGCCTTCCCCAGCAGGCAGGTGGCCTCCATGGAGGCTTCCTTCTGGTGAGAGGGCTGTGTGGGGCTATGGGGCCTCAGCAATGCATTTTAATGGCCAGTAGACACTTTGCCAGGAAAGCTGGTGGCAGTCTGCTGCTGAAAGGAGGTGTCTGTCTGAGCAGCTTGTTCAGTGGTGGCAGGTCACTGTGGTCTGGTGAACTTTGGCTTTGAGTGTGATGAGTCCCTCCCCATGGAAATGGTGGCCTGTGCCATCCCTCCCCTCTCCGGGTGGTAATGCCGCGGAAAATAGCTGGCTTCTGTGTAGGATTCACACAAAACAAACTGGAAACTGGGTCAAATCTTTCTGGTTAAACAAATGACACTTGTCTGAGGGGCGTGTCTGGTTTGTTTCTTAGCGCCTGCCCTGTGCTCTCTCAAGTGTTAACCAACCTTTCTTCTGTTTCAGTTCTGCCACAGATCCCTGTGAAGGTAAACACATTATAAACAAACTTTTTCACTCGCCAGCCTCAACTTATGAGTGTAAAACTTTTCACTTGCAGGAATTCAAAAAAAGAAGCCGATTTAAATGTGGCACAGGCTCGTGTGAGAGACCTTGACGCTCAGCTGAATGCGAAGGAAGCTGATTTAGCAACAGCTTTGAATACAAACCGAACTTTGGAGAATGACCTTCGTGAATTAAAGGATCAAGTAGTCACAGTAAGACTTGTTCCTGGAATGTCAGCTGTACTTTCACTCCTGAGGCTTTTGCTTGTTTTTCCTCAACTAGTTATTGAGACTTAAGCTGGGAAAGACTGTTATCTATGGCAATGACAGGTGGACAAAGATTTCTGCAATCTTACAGAAAGTAAATGCTACTGATAATCTGTTAAAATTTTCACCTGTTGTAGGTACCTTTAATTCTATTTTATTGCTACAGTATGTAATGTTTCTTCCTCTTGCCAATATGCTCGACCCCACTGAAATAAGAACAGATTAATCAACTTAAGCAGTGTGTTTTGATTGCTGCGGGTATGAAGTTAAATGACCTGTAATATGTTGACTGTCTTAGTTTGGAAAAATTGCCTCTTAATTTTGATTACCCTGATCTGTCTCTTCTAGCTGCAGCTGTCACTGAAGGATACCAAAGAGCATCTCCACAGTGAAATGTTGAGGAGGGTGGAACTGGAAAATCATATGAAAACTTTGCAGGAACAACTGATGTTCCAGAAGCGCCTTCATGAAGATGTATGTTTTAGCTTATTACAAATATTCTTTTAAGTGTCCATGATCCCTGGATGCACTTAAAAGCAAAGTTAAGATGTGCTTTATCCTTATAAAGGTAACTTGCTGAGTCAACCTATCACAGTCCACCAGCCAATAAAATCCATCTAACTAGGAAAAAGTACACAACCTCATGTTCACTGGCATAGTACCGATGGGTATCTGGTATATGAGAGAGTTTTCTTAAACTGCACTTCTGAATCCCACTCCAATCCCAATATGCTACTTTGTGTAACTGAAAGAGCATATATTACAATTAAAGCTAAATAATTCCACATGCTTGCTGGAAGCCTAAAATAATTGAAGAAGTTAAATCTCCTTTAATAAGCAACTTATGTTCCCTACTACTTTAATGCTTATTGGAAGTGTGTGGTAGCCTTTGTGTGAGAAGTTAGTACGTGGAACTAGAAAAGATGTGAATGTAAACCAACTTCCTCCTGACTGGAAGGAAATCAAATAGTGTGTGGTTTAAGTGACAGAGAATTCCAATTTCTCAACCAACTACTATTACTTTTTGAATAAAACAAGAGTAGGTAAAGTAACAGTGCTTAAAGAAACTGGAGTGTATATGCATTTGTCCTAAGTAAAGAAAAGCAGAGAAATTAATCTAGTTCAAAGAATTATTCTTAAAATGAAATTCAAACTACTGTGTTTATTAGTTTAAGCAATGTTGGTAGTGAGGAAGCAAAATAGCCCCGCACAAGGTGGAAGTATGTGATCTAATGGATGAATCTAAAATCTGAATAAAGAATAATTACAATGCACTTAATAAATCTGCTTCAATATTGAATAACTCAAATGAAACTGTCTTGGCTTTCTTATTCTCTGAGGATTTTCTTCTCCCAGGAGCTCAAGGAGTCAAAAAGAGTCCATGAGAGCAGGATAGCAGAAATAGAATCTGGTCGTCAGAGAGAATTTGAAAGTAAGCTCTTGGATGCTCTGCAGGGGCTCAGAAAACAACATGAAGAACAAATTCAAGGATACAAAGAGGAGCTGGAGCGAACATTCAATGCAAAAGTGAGTCTGTAAAAGATGCTAATAAAGCTTAAGTTCTCTGCATATTGATTAAAGTCATGCTAGCATAAAGAGCTGACTGATGGAGTCCTTGCATTCAGTGCACTGCTTCTTGGCATAAGTTATGAAATTCTGAAGTAGTGTCAAATGTTAAAATAGAACTTCTACAAACACTTGGTCCCAAACAAAACTGATTCAAGCATCATACTGTCCCTTAGGGGAGCAATTAGGAATGACTAATGTAAATAAGCTGATTATAATTCAGACTTCTGACAGATCTGAGAGCCAGTCTGACAAATTCAGGACTAAGGTGTGCTATGTTTGTATTAAGCAATTTTGGTATTATTGATTAAAACTTAATCTACTGATAATAGTTTTACTAAAATGCATGAAATAAGGTATTCTTACAGTTCTACAAGTGCACTTTTAAATGCATGAGTGCAAATGCCCTTTCCAGTTGCTAGTACTGGTTAAGGGGGAGAGGGTGGCTATGGAAGTAGCTTCATAGTTTGTCTTCCTGAACTGGCTTGTCACCTCTTTCCCAGCATTAGCCACATATGCAGGAAAAAGTAATACATCAGGCTTATACTCTTGGTAGGCAAGATCTGAGGGGTTTCTGGGTTGGTTGCAGTGTACAGTATTGGTATCTTAAGCCGTGTTTAATACTCAGTGCAGAATCACATGATCTGCTACTCTTTTCAACAAGCACATGTGTTCATTTCTTCTGGTTCTTCTGGCTTTCTCTGTACTCCCAATTTATATGCCAAGTTAGTGAATTCCTTTGGATGCTTCTGTCCAGGTTTCCACTGGAAATCCTGTGAGCCTCTTGTAGCATGGCTCTACTTCATATTTTTATCCTTTCTTGGACATCTCAAGATTGAGTTGCTCTAGAAATAGCTCAGTGCTGCTTATAGTGATGCAGGAACTGTTTAGTAGTAAAACTTCTGGGGAAGAGCGATACTTTGATAAGCACACCTAATACCCTGTAGCCCTGTGCTTTCAAAAGCAGCTTCTAAACATATTCTCTATTGTTCTTCTGCAGAATCCATTTACTTCATATCTATACAAAAACTTCATGCATCTGTAACTGAAATATCCTAATCCAGGAATTTTCACTACCTGATTACTGCTGACTTTTTCTGACATGAATGTCAAACTTATGTAAACCTCCCTGAAAAGCAATGAAAAACTTTCTGACCTGGACTTTACTTAAATGTGTAGATACCAATAAAATATAACTATTTCCAGATGTAACAGCTGGAAATCACTTGATTTTCCTTCCTTATTTAAAATACATGGTCATAAGCAACTTGTTACTAACAGCGCCTTATCCATAGGTGCAGAATGCCCAGCTATCTGCAGCAAAACATAGTGATGTTGCCAATGCTGCTCGGGAGGAGCTGAGGGAAACAAAGCTGCGAGCTGATGCTCTGACATCTCAAGTTAGTCAATATCAAAACCAGGTACTATTTTTATTTATATATCCTCAGAATTATTTTAATTTAGATACCCGATTCAAAATACTGGCCTCTCCTCCTGAGTCTTCAGTTAACAGTTTAACTGATTTTTCCCCTTCCTTAATTTTAGACTGTTGCTTTGGAGAACAGAATAAAGGAGCTACAGGGGATGCTTGATCATGATCGTGATCTCCATCGAAGGCGTATGGCTGAAAAAGAGAAAGAAATGGCACAAGTCCAGCAGCAGGCACAGGAACAGTTGGAAGAATATGAGCATCTCTTAGATGTGAAACTAGCTCTAGATCTGGAAATAAATGCTTACAGAAAGATGCTGGAAGGAGAGGAACAGAGGTAGGCTATAACAAGATCCTCATATGAGGGCTTGCTTCATCAAAGATATCTACGCTAATTAACTGTATATTCTTCAGAATGTGGTGGAGGCAAGAAATAAATATTAAGTATGTGATTAGTGCTGTAATTTAGTTCTTGAAGCATAATCTTGTAGATGGTATTTGTATCCCATATCCACCACATGGTGTAGTAAGATGAAATAACTTGATAAACCCAACTGATAAAGTTCAAAGGTCCACTAGACATCACTCCCTAGAATCAAACTGTCTCAAAGCTCTGTGCTACATCCTAGAGATTTATCAAAGACAGCGCTCAAGTTTCATGAATGAAACTGGGAAATTGTATCAACTCCCAGCTATTCAGATAATGCCTGGTAAGAACATGGACTCAATACATGCTGAGAGGGGTCAAAAATGTAAACTATTCTGCTAAAGATTGCGTCTGCAGAGACTGTAAAGGAATACTTACTGCAGTTGGGAATCTCCTCTTATCGACATAAGCTTGCTCTGAACTCTAGGACTGGGGCTGTCTTCCAAGCTTAACAAGCTACTTAGCTACCCTTGCCAGTAAAAATAAAATCATATATTCAAGACTTCATGGAAAGCTTGGATATAAGAAGCTGTTAGGCTTGGCTATGGTGGGAGGATAGGAGTGACAAATAAGCAGATCAGATATTCAAGTGAATGTTATCTGACTCCCTTCTAGGCTAAAGCTGTCACCCAGTCCATCCTCACGCAGCACTGCAACTCAAGCAACGCAAGCAACAAGTCAAGGGCGACGGTTCCTGCATGGGAAGAAGAGGAAAATGAAAGAAGCCAGAAAGAGAGGTCACAGTGCTGGATTTAAGACTGTTCAGCATGCTTCGTCTTCTGGACATATATCTATTGAAGAAATTGATGCAGATGGGAAATTTGTCAGGCTTAAAAACAACTCTGATGAGGTACTTCTATTCATGCAACTCTGCATGGCCTTATTGCTAACTACAACTGCTCAACTTTTTGTGAACTGACTTGTAGCTTAGTGAGAGATGATAACAGGAAAGAATTGAGGAGACAAGACTCCTGCCAAACTAAATACAAAGTGGGCACTTCCCAGCTAACCCAGCTGCTGTCAAGAGAAGACTAGAGGCTTCTTTTATTTTATTTTTTTTTAATACGGCAGGGGTTTTGTTCACAGGGATGTCTGGGAGGTGCTTTTGTGGGGAGGTGCACTGGGTTCTATGATGCAGAAATCTAACACCTTCAGTTGTTTCTCATCAAGTTCAGGCTAGCACTATCAGAAGTACTACTTATTCTTGAACTAAATAAGGTGCTTAGTAAATTGGATAATGACAGCTTCTTATTACTTAGAAAAGCTTAAAACAGCTAAAAGGGTGCATAGAGCTGACAGTATCTAATCCGTGTAGAGGGTTTATCCATCGAATTAGATAATTCTTTGACTAGTCTTCAAATCCAGAATTATTAGAACTTAATCTTCCAAGCTCCAAAACTTTTGGTTGGTAATTTAACCACTTCAGCTGGAGATACCTTAAAGCTTCACAGACCACTATGCATGTGTTATATACATGGGTCAAACTGGTAAATGGGCATGACCAACTTCATTTATCAGAATCTCCCTGGTGAAGAGGGATTGTGATGCTCTTTAACAGAAGGCAAGAACAAATGTGCCTAATCTTGTGGGACTAAGATTAATCCTAAGGAAGTACTGGGAGAAATGACAGGGAGGCTTTAATGGAAACTTGAAGGCTTCCTCAAAATTGCTCAGATTCTTATATGCTACAGGAGTGGAATTAAAACTGACCTGTGAGTCTAGAAAGAACCTTGCACCTGTAAGATATGGTGTTCACCTATAATGCTGAGAGAAATTTCTTGTCTTGCAGGATCAATCACTACATGGATGGGTGTTAAGAAGACATCTTGGAAGTGTGCCAGATGTAACATACAAGTTTCCTTCACTGTTCATTCTTCAGGCAGGCGAAGTAGTTACAGTAGGTAGTGGCTTTGTAAAATTTTAAAAAGCTTTGTAAAATTTACTCAGAGCTGTTCTTGTTATGTTAAATGGCAATAGAGATTCGTGTTATAAGAAAAAATAAATTGTTACTGCAAGTGCCTAAAAAGAAAAATCCTTATTTTATGTGGAGAGGCAGATGGGGGAAAAAGTCCTTGCAACAACTTGCCTTGAAATGCCAATTAAATTTTCTTTAAAGCTAGATCCTGGATTGAACTTGGATTGTCCCAGATTGGAATGTGCTGTTATTATGAATGGGATCAATATATTCAAGTTTATTCTTAGGGTTCCTCATACCCCTGTCATTTCATTCAAGTTGTGCAAAGACTCTCACTGTTGCTAAAAGTTTTGGTCCACTGCAGTTCAGTAACGCTGAGCTCATGGTTTATGGTATTAAGCTAAATAATAGCTCTAAAATTATACTTTAAGTAGTTCTAGATAATGATCAAAGAGCCTAATTCTATGCTCAGCACTTCAAACTCTGTACAAGCTTGCTCAAGAGATCTGTGAGTGACCTCAGGCTAGAGGCTATCTTGTATACACAAACTGATGCCATGAGTATGTCTGTAACCATGGCTTGGCTCTGTGACTCAAATGGTATGTGTTTCCAGACAAGGCTACCTCTGTATCAGGTAGAAGCCATTAACAGCCTTTTCTGCACTGTTTTAAGTCTCCAGTTAAAAAAAAACAAACCTACACCATTCTTGGTAGTCCTGCAAAGAACTAACCTGCCAGGGATCACGGTTTCTGTTACCAAACATCTTTGGTATTGGAGAGTTGTATATGTTAGACTGAATCCTAATCTAACTACCAGTAAGATTTTTCAAAAGCTACCTCTAAATGTGTTGCAGATCTGGGGTGCAGCTGCTGGTGTGAGCCCAGGTCCTAGTGATCTGGTCTGGAAGTCTCAGAAGTCCTGGGGAAGTGGGGATAATATTGATGTTACACTTATCACAGATGATGGTGAGGTAAGTGAGAGAAAAAAGAGCTTTTACTGTCCTAATACTAAACTTGTTTGTACTTGATTCTTGAGGGTTCTTAGTGGCAATTCAATTGTATTCTAGGAACTTGCAGAGAGGAAGATAATGCATATACCCAGAGGAGAAGAAAGTGGTGAGCAAGATGATGATTATGAAGAAGTAACTGGAAGTGAAATGGAGTTTCCATCTCAGGTAAGTTGCCTGAAGTTCAAACACATGCTATCAACAGAACCATTTGCTGGCCACTTCTTTCCATTAGTGTATGAAAATACTTCCCCAAGTACTATCTATACTCTACAACTCTTTATATTTTTCTTGATGTCAGACTAAAAGAAGAAGAAAAAAGAAATGTTGTTTGGTTTCATGATATTGGTTCCTGTGAGTCTCCTTAAGCAGGTGAGATGGTGAGAATAAAGCTTGTCATCTCCTAGAAAACTTGCTTCACTAATAGTGCTGCAGTCTCACGTCTTACGTAGGATGTAGCTTGCATGGCTTTGCATCAGAAGTGGAATTGATGCTTTGCTTATTCCCTGGCTGAATATGATCAAATGGTAGCATTAATTGTTTGGTCTCTTATTACTGACACACTGAAAAATACTAGCTTTAATGTCTGCTCCATCTAAACATCTGACTATGAATGAAATTAATTACCTCAAGAGCAGCACACAAACACTAACCAGAAATACCTTATTTCTGTGAGATGAAGTGATGTATCTGACACTCCAAACAGTGTCCCTGAATTGCTCTTAAGATAACTTAAGTTCACACAGAAGAAATCGAATATTTCCATTCAGAAGTATTAAAAGGCTGAAATCAAAGTTCTTAGTGTATTGATTGCCTGTCTTTCAAATTCAAGCATAAGTTTGAGACCCTTTTATGCCAGCTCATTTCCAAGAACTTTCTCGTTTTGCTGTGCAAAGTATCTCAGCCTTGCTTCAGTCATAAATACTCTATTCAATACTATCCAAGTGGAACTTGAGTATAGAATGGAGGTCATGCTAATGGAATTAACACAGTCAAATAGAATAAGCATGTTTTGCCTTCAACATACTTATAAACCTTTGGCTACAATAGGCATATTTAATGCTCTGTGGAAGACTCTCTAGCCCCTCCAAATGGCTTTTGGCTGACCATATGATGAGTCTGGACATCTACATATTGGATGCTCCTAGTGAATTTACATATACTAGTAGTCAGGTATCTTTATCTGCTGAAGTAATCTAAACCAGAACTATTACAAATGCTTTAAAGTGGTCATAAATGGACAGTTATGGACTGTACTGAACCCTTGAGTTGGTTTATTTCTTGACTTGAAATAGCACCAAGTCTCCTTTGCTAGTACAAACACCATGGCCCTAAGCACAAGGGGACACCTCGCTAAAAACTCATTCTCTCTGTCCTCCTGCTGACTCAGCATTTGAGCTACCACAACTCTTGCTAAAACTCATCCTACACAGTTACAAGGAGTACTTGCATCTTGCTGCTCCAGGTCTTAAAGCCACCACCACTTCCCTATTTTTAGAAGATACCTGCCTGAAAACTGAAAAGTACCTTAGCATTTACTTTCTGAAAAAAACTGTACCTAAGAACAGGCAGCTACTGCCTGTTGCTTGGTTCTTTCCTTGTCCTTCTCTCACACAGAAAATCTGGGCAAGTATCTATTACTGTCATACCATCTGGCTTAATGGCTGTTTATCAAAGTCTCCTGACTTAAAAGCACATTCTTGTAATATTTTCAGTCTCTCACTGAAGGAGAGTGAGACCCAGTTAAATAGGCAATTGAGGAAGGCTCTATAATGCTATTTTGGCCTTTGGGCCACAATGGTTGAAGTAACACTAGTGGAAGCCTTAGGCTCATAAAGAGACTTAATGATACAATGTGCTCTTCATGTTTGGAGTAGGGCCTCTCCTCAAGGTTTGGATTTGATTTTTTGTGGTTTTGGTTTTTTTTTAAAGGCTCTTTATTTGAATCAACTAATAATAAGGCTTGTTTGGTAATCAGTGATGGAAAGCAAAAGTAACATTTTTCCTTACATGTCTAATCTGTTTTATCAGCAACTTTACAATACACTTGTGTGCCACTTATGGTAAGAACCAATACTAATACTCCCACTCAAATGTTAAATGTCATTCCTGTCTGCTGAGTTCCTATCAAACTTTTGCGATTAGTACCTCTGTGCTTCTGCTGCGTTGGTAGCATTGAAATATTGGCAGCTTAGTAAAAAACAGTTCACTTCTTGCATGCAGTAAAATGATGTGAAGAAAGCATGTTGTGCTTTAAAGGAATGCAGGGTTAGCATGGCTCTTGATTTTCTTCTTATCCTAACTAGCATAGCATGAATCTGCATGCCAGTTATGTTTTGATGCCAGTCTGCATGCCAGTGACCTTCTGATGCTTCAGAACTGGGGTACTGATAGCTAGCTCAACAGCTTTTCATTAAGGAAGGCACAGGCTCATGTATTGCATGAGCTGAAATTCTTAAAAGCTTGTTTTCTCCCCCTGGTCCCCCACACTGTCTAGTTACAGTTACAGTTAAGGTACTACCTCTCTTGAAAACCTGCTTTGCTTTATTAGAAAAGTACTTAAATCTACAAAACACTAAAAGCCCCACACAGCTATATGAGGATCAAGTAGGTAACCAGCAATAAATACTGTTTGTACACATGCTAATTAGCCTAATGTCTTGATGTTTTATTTCTGCAGCAAAATGGGGATGCTAGCTGTTATATCATGTGATGTGGACAAATTGATGATCATCTGAAAACAGTTCTCAATCCCAGGTGACACAGACAACGTGTTTTGGTATCTTCTGCAATATTCACATCTCCCATCTGACCTCTTTGTAAGAAAAATTGTCCATAACATGATGGAATTTCCTACCTTCTGATACTGGACTCTATTCTTGGATTCACTGATATAAAGAGCAGTAGAATACAAGCTCCATGTGAAGTTATTTTTACTTTCACACGAGGATCTGATGTCTGTGACCTGCTGAAACAGAGGATGGTACACAGTTCACAAAGCTTCTAAACGTATGCCCTAGAAGGATGCTAAATACTCGACAGTTCTGATACGGTGTTTCTCCAAAGGTAATTTCTCTTTCAAGCCTGAGTGGGAAACTACATGGGCCAGGTCGCACCCCAGCTTGCACCTTGAGCAAGTCTGAACTCGGCTGAAGTAAAACATTAACCTGAAGAGTGCTGAGTGTCTGAAATGTTTTCTGCTCAGATCCTGATGCTGAAATATACGAAACTGGTCCAGATCACTTGCTAGAGAACTTCCTAGAATGAAACATTTTAAAATTAAAAGCCAGCTGTAAAAAATATTCCTGTCTTATTAAATGTACTGTTCCTGTATTCTAGCCAATTTCAGTACTGTATATTCCTAGATACAGGATATCCCAGCATGGCTGTGTCAAACTTAACTTGGAGAGATGTACCCTGTAAATGTGAAAAAGCATCTCATTCCAGCAGAGAAGGTACTGTAACTAGCAATATTAGTACTCTGTTTGAACGGTCCCAACAAGTCAGCTTTCTAAGGGGTTAGAAAAAAAAATACTGAAACAAAAAGCAAAACTAAAAAAACACCAACTGTAATAAAAGGTGCATCAAAAATCCCTGCTCTTAGAATCCTTATGTACTAAATCTCCCTGCAGTCTGCAGTACTGCTCTGCGTATGTCTAATGGGGCAGCTATAAGGGGGGAATACAGCCTATTGGCCAGTATGTAATTTATTGTACATTTAGTAACTCTGTAGTCCATGTAAAGCCTGACATAACCCTCAGAAACCAGGCACTCAGCCTCTGGGGCCACTGCATTCAATTATTGTTAGCCTCTTTTTACTGAAATGCTTACCTACTGGCTCTGTGGTAAAGACAGGGCCTTGATGAGCCACAAAGTACACTTCTCTTCAAGAGCAGGAGGGGAGCAGCTGAGACTGGATTTCTCTAAATGCTGAAGTTTTTTTGACTGCGTCTTGCCTTGCCGGTTCTGTGTTAAGATGCAGTTGTTAAGGTGAGGCTTTCCATATACTAGCTTAAACTTGCTTAAATTAATTTAAAAATCTAGTTTCGAGACATCAAGACTGGTGCTGGATTAATACTTAGATTTTAGCAGATCTGAATTCTTGTTGTACCTTATGGCCCACACAGTAGTAGATGCTGCTATGACCCTGCTATATTTATCTTGATTTCCAAAACTTTTTTAACTATTAAAGATATTTTCCATGTATATAAAAGCAATCTTGGAGTTTAATATTTTCAGATTAAATAATAAATTTGTTTGTTCATTGATCTTATCTGAGCGTCTCAAAAGACTTTGAAGCAATAAAACTAGGTAGTTATGGAAAAGTCCCTGCAGACTGACAAAACCTTTACAAATACTGTGCTTTCCCATTTATTACTTAGCAGTTCAGCTTTATTTGAAGAACTAAAAACTTGATTTAAAGGGAAGCTTCAGTATTTCAAATGAAACTTTTCCATAGAACATGGGAAGGATGGTATTAAGCAACAATAATGAAAGCCTTGATCTAGTGTATGTTTCTTGATAGTAAATAGCAGCGGTATAGAGTGATGTTTGGAAATACCATCAATGGTCTAGGAAACAAGAACTACTCTTATTTATCCAACTCTACAGCACACTAGATAGTTTATGAAACTAGCTCTTAGCATACAATTTTAAAAGGGGTCATATTTAAAGAACCAATTCTCTGTTGTGCAAATTGTCTTCCTGGTACTTTATCTAATCAATTGCGGTTTAGCACTCTCTTGACCTGCTTCTAGCTTACTACTTTTGCACAGCTGCTTGTGTTAGATGAGACATCTGTACTCAAGGGCAAGCTGCCTACTGCAGAGCGTATTGAGAATTCAAACATGTAACTCCTTCCTCTATGGAATTCTGGTGAGATTTAAATTGCCTCTTTTCTTGCCTGCGATGGAAAGGTATGACAGGTGAGACTTCTCTGATAAAGGGGGGAAAAGGCAAAAGAAGCTGTGAATCCCAAGCACTTAAACTTTTGAAAGTTGTCCCATACACTTAGTATTTAGAACATCACAGATACTTCAATTAAAAAGCTTTCCCTATTGCTGCTCAGTTAGTTAGGGGCTAATCTATGCTTCTTAGATGGACCATTTCTTGCACCTGTGATACACATGGAATTCTTTCCTCTCTAGGGACTGCTGTTTCTACTGGACTACAGAACCCTGAAGCTGGATTGAAGCCAGTTTGCCCATAAAGAGTTCGGCTCCCTTGTCATCCCTCTGTATTGTACAAACTGGCAAAAGATTATGTGGTGTTCTGGGGTTACTGAATTTCTTGGTCATTACAGCATCTGCAATTTGCAGAGCAGAAGATGGATAATAGAAAAACAAATTAATCCTGTCTTCATTTTGATAGTACTTTGAATCATAGAATAGTTTGGGGTGGAAGGGACCTCTAAAGGCCATCTGGTCCAACCCCCCTGCAATGAGCAGGGACATCTTCAACTAGACCAGGTTGCTCAGAGCTCCATCCAACACAACCTTGAATGTTTCCAGGGATGGGACATCTACCCCCTCTCTGGGCAACCTGGGCCATGTTTCTTCCTTACGTCTAGTCTAAATCTTCCCTCTTTTAGTTTAAAACCATTACCCCCTTGTCTTGTCACAAGAGGCCCTGCTGAAAAGTTTGTCTCCATCTTTCTTACAAGCCCCCTTGAAGTACTCAAAGTCTACAATAAGGTCTCCCTGGAGCCTTCTCTTCTCCAGGCTGAACAACCTCAACTCTCTCACCCTGTTCTCACACCAGAGGTGTTCCATCCCTCGCATCACTTTTGTGGCTTCCTCTAGACCTGCTCCAACAGGTCCATGTCTTTCCTGTGCTGTACTTAACATGCCTGAGTCTCTGTCCTTTTTTTTTTTTTTTTGGCATGTTCTTAGTTTTGTTCTCTCCCCAGCCTTCTCTTTCTCTTTGTTTCCCATCCCTTTCAAGTAAATAAAAAAGTGGAAAAAAATTGACTTTTCCTTTGTTTGCAGTAGTCACCCATGATACTCACCCATTTGTCTCAGAAGAGTTCTATACAAACCGTGTGGAGCTACAATCAGTTTGTACTTACTTCAGAGGAATTCTTCTCTTATCCTGCTGCTAGAAGAAAATTTTAACAGACATCATAAATGCTACACCATCAGTAGGAAGAGAGAAGATTATTAAGATTCCAGTGGCTGAGGTTTTATAAAACCAATACTTTGGCTTTATTCATGCATTTTTTAACATAGCATTGTTTTCTTCACTGAAAGCTGATATATTTAGCAAAAAAGTGACCTCCAGATCAAAAACAAATGCCAGAACTACAGGAATAGAAGCAGCAACCACTGTTCTTATCCCACAGAAATATTTATTCAGTTTGGTCAGTAAATTATAGGAATTTTCAATGCTGAGAACTTGTACTTAGTACAACATCATAATATTGACAACAACCACTTTGCCTTTTGTCAACATACAATGTGAAACATGGATTAACTTGCTCACAATAAATTACAGTGTGATAGATGAAAAGAGCTCAATGACATCAGTAACTTAGGAACTGGTTACAGTTAGCTTCACTTACAGTATTTTTAAAAATGGTTTTCAATAGTAAAATCATTGCAGCCAAAGATAAAAAAAAAATCCACATACAATAATAGCAAGGAAATGCATTTTTTGAGCAACAGTGAGCTACCAGTAAACACTTCATACAGTGATCTTCAAGGCACAAAGCAAAAAAACTGGGTATGGGTTTTTTTGCAGGTTGATGGACTCAGGGAAGGTAAAATTTTTTTGAATATAAAATAAATACATTTTAAAAAGACGCATACAAAAGTCAGTAAGTCAGTCAAATAGCAAGGCTTTCACAGAATGCCACACTGACAGAACATTTGTGAATCCATTTCAGTCATGAAATCATGTTCACAGCTTGAATGACACAATCACTGAGGCAAGGGAACCATCACTTCAACATAGTTAATGGGGAAGAAGCCAGACTCTCCATTTAACATCCCCTCGTACCAATTCTCATCAATCTGATTGGTCAAAGTTATGATGTCCCCTTCCTTAAACCCAAGCTCGCCTTCGTTTTCTGGCTCAAAGTCATAGAGAGCTTGGCAGCAAGGCTGATCCATGTGCATTGAAGAACCTGCCCCAGTGACAGAAAAAACACCCGTATTAATAAAGCTTCACAGCATCCCACAGCCACCAAGCATCACACAATGGGTCAAAGAACGTAGCCCTCCTGTCATGAATTTCTCCCTCAGCTCCGCAACAGCTTCTCCATTGCTTTCACCCATTAACACCTGGTCCTTCTAGACATAAAACATAACAGTAGTGATACTTAGTTTAAAGCATAATTCTATTTCTCCCTTCAGTTCAGATGCTACTCCATTCCTTCCATTCACTCCATTCTTCCCTTTGGAAAGGATGTTTGCCTCAAATGGGTAGTCTGAATAATCGCCACTGCCAAAAATCAGCGTGGTCTCTTCTGGAGTGGTGGCTGGAGGAAATGGAAGGGTAGGAGTTGAGGAAGCAGAAGAGTCAATGGAAGTGACAAGTAATCACTTAAACAGCACCACGGCACACGGCTGGTTGGGGAGAACCTACCAGGGGCTCGAGGTCCATCCTGCAAACATGGGTACAGCCCACGGGCAGTGGCCACCTGGCACGCTACACGTGCCTTGGCAGGAGCACGGCCTCCACCCTCCCCTCCCCTGAGCAGTGATGCCCTGATATCTGGGTTACTGCTCCCCGAGTCTGTGTGCTCAAACCCTTTGTGGTTCAATCCTTCATCTGAACTAAATATTCTGAGAACTTCACATCCTAAATCTGCCCTAAAGCCAAGGTCATGCTGGGAACAATGCACCTCTCAAACTATTTCACAGACCAAAACAGTTTTCCGATAGAGTATCTGGCTGCTCGTGTGACTTACGCTGTTTGCCCTGCTATGAAAATCTTCATACCAAATTACTCTTAAAATATTAATTGTACCATAAGCAAATTTAGTAGCAAGGAAAACAAGTAAACATAAAGTATAAAACAGAAATGCCATGACCAGAAGAAGTTAAACTTGTAAATGCAGCCATCTTTTTTAAAGATATTCTCATGAAGGGGTGTTAATTGGCCTGGGTTTGTAGTATTGATACACGTGTAAAATATTCACTCATTCATAGTTCTGAATAATAGCTTATTCTAATAAAAGGTAATCTAATACTCAAATTGTAAAGCTTATCTCTGTGGCCAAGGATGAGCCAGAGGTTCAACTGAAGTTCAGCCATAAGAGATTTTTAAGAACATATACAGCATATCCAAGTAAAAGTCTGGTAATTTGAAAGATATTTATAAATGAATAGGAGGAAAGATTTCACACTGCTGCCATATCAACAGCAGTAAAGCACATCATAGCACAACTCTAGAACAATCTAGAGCTTACATTAAAGCAGTTGAATCTCTTAAATACCAAGTTATTCAGGTTGTCCTATTTGCAACATTGCAAGAATTCCCAAATATCCCAGTCTTGACTCTCCCATCTATCACACACGCTAATCATGCAATCACCTTGAAGAGTAATTTTCTTCTATGTAAATCTGCACACAATTGGTAATGCAATACAAATATAATAGCTAAGATGTTAAAAATGCATGCATGCAAAAGTGCGCTTTAATCTGGTAATTCTGGTAATGTGTAGGAAACTATTGAAAAGTAACTGTTCGGGCATTTTCTAGTAAAAGGAACAAGGAGAAGTCTCTTAAGGAAACTAGTTGACAACTGTTCCGGTGATCAGTAAATGACTGATGCTGAAAGCATCTTTTTAATTGACAATAATACAATCAGGGGTAATATTGGGTGTTAAAACTGGGAAGTAGGAATTACTTTTCTATTTTGTGAGCACGTTTTATCCTTTATACCAATAGAAGAGAGCTATGATTTACATGTCCTGGTTTGAGAGCTGTCAACACAGAGCTCCCCCTCAGCCAACCTCCCCAGGACATTGCAGCGACAGCGCTGGACGAGTCCTCTGCCTGTGGGAGGCATGGGGTAGTGACAACCTTTTACAGGAACAAACTAAATTACAGCTAGTCTAATACAGGGACTCGGGTGAAGGCCTGGTTCTGGACATATTTTTGCTGAAACAGTCCAAGTAGAAAACAGAAGATGAGCCACAGGTTCCCAGCAAAAATGTCCTGATTCTGTTCAACAATAGCTGATTTCTTTTCAGTCTTTGCCAAGGTAGAACTGGGGCCGGCTCCTCGGAACTTGTCAGCAGCAGAAAACAGCGCTCTGAATAATTGACAA